TCTCGGGGTGTCAAACTGGGGTGTTGTTATATGGAGGCTAGTTCAATAATGTTTGTTTGATTGACGTTACTTCAGGATTAGGGAAAAGTGACTTGAAAAGAATAACGCGCTAAACGAATCTAAGGATATCGGAAGTGACTTGCGGAGACCTGCGGAGACCTGCGGAGACCTGCGGAGACCTGTGGAGACCATCAGTGACATGTGGAGACCTGCAGTGACCTGTGGAAACCTGCTGCATTTTTACCGATAGCAAAACAAAATACTTTTAACAATAAACAAATAGAATTGAGTCTGTTTTGGTGTGTCTCCTAAAATGACTTGTAAATCTAAATTCAACATCAACAAACAAATGACTAAAGAAATGTCTTCAACATGGTGCCATGGTGGTGACGTTGTGCCCAGTGATTGCAATTGTTGTTCGTTAAGGGGGGAGGGAGGGGGGAGGATGGTCTTCGTCGGAAATACCTTTTGATCATAAATCTGGTCATTGCTGTGGAGACAAAAGAATGTGCTGTTGACGTGCCAATAAAACATAACTGTTAAGTATTTTCGTTGTACAGATTGATTGTGATTTTACACAATTGAAATATTATTGTATGTAACCGGTTCTGTGTCCCAAGACACCACGTGACCGCTTCTGTGTCCCAAGACAACCCGTGACCCGCTTTGTGTCCCAAGACAACGCGTGACCGGCTCTGTGTCCCAAGAGAATACGTGACCGGTTCTGTGTCCCAAGACACCCTGTTCCAGGCTTTATGTCCAAGGCAACCTGTTCCGGGCTCTGTCTGCAGAGACACTCTGTGCCGGGCCCTGTCTCAAAAGACACTCTGTGAAGGGTGTGTGCCCAAGACACCCTTTGCCAGGCTTTGTGCCCGAAAACACCTTGTGATCCAATAGTTGCTGGAGTGAATGGCCGATTTTAAAGGCCATGACATGACCACTTCCGTTTGGCCGTGACAGTGTTTCCTAACAATACAACCGAATCTATGTCACTTAACGGCCACGTGAACACAGTGTGGTTAGATACTTTTTATCTCCACTTGAATTTCCGTCAGGATCATTTCAACAGGTTGCAAGTCAGTCACCTAAGGTATTGTGCCCTCCCCCCCCCCTCTTTCTCTCTGGTGCTAAACTTCACCTCCCACCACAAACTATCCCTATCTCATAATGCCGATGTGTGTGTGCCTGAACTTTCTTAAGACTGATAGTCTCTACCTGCTAACTGGGTGTTCACAACCTAGCTCAAAATACATAGTTCATCTATCAGTGGAGGGGTACAGTACATTCAATATGATAGAACCACTGTAACGTTCCCTTGACATTCATCTCAACCACCAAGTAATTTATTCAAAGAAACTCAGGAACGAAGACAACAATTAGCAATGTTAAAAATTGACCTGGTTGGAAAGGGGGAAAAGGGGGGGGGGGGCAAATATATCCAATGTCGAAAATGTCAAGTATATTAGATAATTATCAGTGTTATATATAAAAACTTAGAATGACTGAAAATTAAAAGATTAGTTACTAAACTATACAGTTACAAGAGCATTCAGCAAATATGAATACAGTTTTTTAAAAGATTGTAAAGAATAAAATAATAATTTGAACAGAGTTTTATGTACCACCTAACCGTTTCCAATTTTCACGTTCCCCCCCCCCCCCCAAACACCCCCACCCCCCTCCAAAAGCCAAACAGGTCACGCTTTTTTCAAAAACACCAATAGTGAGCGTCAACTTGAACTAGTACCACTACAAACTTGAACTAGTCTCATTAGAAACTTGAACTAGTCCCTTACAATCTTGAACTAGTACCTCTACAAACTTGAACTAGTCCCATTACAAACTTGAACTAGTCCCATTACAAACTTGAACTAGTCTTATTACAAACTTGAACTAGTCTCATTAGAAACTTGAACTAGTCCTACTACTAACTTGAACTAGTCCCATTACAAACTTGAACTAGTCTCATTACAAACTTGAACTAGTCTCATTACAAACTTGAACTAGTCCCATTACAAACTGGAACTAGTCTCATTACAAACTTGAACTAATCTCATTACAAACTTGAACTAGTCCCATTACAAACTTGGACTAGTCCCATTACAAACTTGAACTAGTCCCATTTAAAAACTTGAACTAACTAACTTACTTAAGAAAATCAGCGAACACCGAGCCTTGAGGTTCATATGGTCCTCCCCAACGCACCACCCCGCCAACCAAACCGGCCGTCAACCACTCCCTCAGTGGTTTTTAGTCCGATCGGGCCGCGAAGCGGCACGCCAGGGACGCTCCGCCCCTAAGACCGCCACACTCGACCTCCACTCGATTGGCCGCTGAGTGTGGCAGCCCCAGAGAAGAAACACCTGGCCAGCCGGATTGCTACTCACGCAGCAACAGGGCCGGGCTTTCTAGGGGGTTGGGGTGGATATTTAACGTCTCTAAAGTCCCCCCTTACCACCCCGGGGGGACCGCGTAGATGTTAAGACCGACGCCCTCTACTAGGGTTTGTATGGTTATTCTACGGTGCGACTAATTCACACCGTAGATGGGAGAGAGAGGTTGCCTTGGAGCAGTACCCTCAAGACTGCATATTTAGAATCACCGGTGAAAGGTTGCCACACACCTTCACCTCATATCCATACGGCAACTGTAATCATGTCCCAACATGTTTCTGCGTTTAGTAAAATAATTCGACTGCACTTGGTGGGAAGCCATGCAATCGTGCTCGTTTTAACGCAGTCTCCGTGCGTTACCTTTGCCTTTCGGCGCGGGTCCCCTACACGGTGGTACAGTACCCCGGGAAACGCTTCAGGGGGTTCGTGGCGAGCGCCTCTTTATCAAACATGTCATTAACCGACATGACGACAAGAGCCCGGAGCCAAAAACTTGAACTAAATAACATTACAAACTTGAACTAAATGACATTACAAACTTGAACTAGACAAATTACAAACGTGAACTAAATGACATTACTAATTTGAACTAGCTCCATTACAAACTTGAACTAAATGCCATTAAAAACTTGAACTAAATGACATTACAAACTTGAACTAGGCTCATTACAAACTTGAACTAATTGATATTACAAATTTGGACTAAATGACATTACAAATTTGGACTCGCTCCATTACAAACTTGAACTAAAAGCCATTACAAACTTGAACTAAAAGCCATTACAAACTTGAACTAAAAGCCATTACAAACTTGAACTAAAAGCCATTACAAACTTGATTTAAAAGCCATTACAAACTTGAACTAAAAGCCATTATAAACTTGAACAAAAAGCCATTACAAACTTGAACTAAAAGCCATTACAAACTTGAACTAAATGACATTACAAATTTAAACTAGCTCCATTATAAACTTGAAATAAATGACAATACAAAATTCAACTAGACCTATTACAAACTTGAACTTAATGACATTACAAACTTGAACTAGTCCCATTAAAAACTTGAACTAGACTCATTACAAACTTGAACTAAATGACATTACAAACTTGAACTAGTCCTATTACAAACTTGAACTAGACCATTACAAACTTGAACTAGTCCCTTTACAAACTTGAACTAGTCATATTACAAACTTGAACTAGTCCCATCACAAACTTGAACTAAATGACATTAAAAACTTGAACTAGACCAATTACAAACTTGATCTAGTCCCATTACAAACTTGAACTAGTCCCATTACAAACTTGAACTAGTCTCATTACAAACTTAAACTAGTCCCATTACAAACTTGAACTAATCTCATTACAAACTTGAACTAGTCCCATTACAAACTTGAACTAGTCCAATTAAAAAAAATTGAACTAAATAACATTACAAACTTGAACTTGTCCCATTACAAACTTGAACTAAATGACATTACAAACTTGAACTAGAAAAATTACAAACTTTAACTAAATGACATTACTAATTTGAACTAAATGACATTACAAACCTTAACTAGACAAATTACAAACGTGAACTAAATGACATTACTAATTTGAACTAGCTCCATTAAAAACTTGAACTAAATGCCATTAAAAACTTGAACTAAATGACATTGCAAACTTGAACTAGGCCCATTACAAACTTGAACTAAATGACATTACAAACTTGAACTAGAAAAATTACAAACTTTAACTAAATGACATTACTAATTTGAACTAAATGACATTACAAACCTTAACTAGACAAATTACAAACGTGAACTAAATGACATTACTAATTAGAACTAGCTCCATTAAAAACTTGAACTAAATGCCATTAAAAACTTGAACTAAATGACATTGCAAACTTGAACTAGGCCCATTACAAACTTGAACTAATTGATATTACAAATTTGGACTAAATGACATTACAAATTTGGACTCGCTCCATTACAAACTTGAACAAAAAGCCATTACAAACTTGAACTAAATGACATTACAAATTCGAACTAAATGACATTACAAACTTGAACTAAATGACATTACAAACTTGAACTAAATAACATTATAAACTTGTTCTAAAAGCCATTACAAACTTGAACTAAATGACATTGCAAACTTAAACTAAATGACATTATAATCTTAAACTAGTCCAATTACAAACTTGAACTAAAAGCCATTACAAACTTGAACTAAATGACATTACAAACTTGAACTAGCCCAATGACAAACTTGAACTAAATGGCATTACAATCTTAAACTAGTCCCATTACAAAGTTTCAACAAGTAGAGCATAAATTGTTTCCTTTAAAAAATTACAACACACAAAAAGAAAGGCATGTTAAAAAGCTGAGACCACCATGAGTGAAGCCGGTCTACTCTATTGTTGTCGACCCTCGTCACTAATGCTAGGATGTTTCTCTATCAACAACGAATCTTACCCCTCCCCTGTACTGGGAGCCCCCCCCCCTTCTCGGTATCTCATTCACCGATATTAAAACCACTCGAATAAAAGTTTTTATTGGTGTTTTGCCCCCGCCCCCGCCCCACCCCCACCCCCCCCTTCCCATTCACAAATTGTCCTCGCCACCCGGCGTTGACATCCAGTGGGTTTGCTAACAGGAAACCAGTAGACGGTAGGGGGTAGGGGGGCACAGTCATGGAATGTCAATGGACTTTAGAGTAGTTGATATAAAGTTAGTACAAGTTATCCAGTTTGTTTCGTCAGAGCAGCTGCGTGGATCAACTCAAATAGCAACAAAGTAAGCTGAGACACAAGCGAGGCACAGCCACAAGCAGTAGGATGCACTTTGTGAACTAAGTTGTTAAAAAAAACACGATCACCTATTTTATTCCAAACTGACCCACCAACCATAGTTAGCGTTATCAACATGAAGCATTTTCTTTTAGTGTTATCCATCTCATTCTCCGTGGTCGCTGGAATTGTCCAATCAGGTAAGCTGGTTAGATTTTTTTTTGTTGGTATCAACGTTTTTTAAAAAAAACTTTATAAGGATATGCACTTTACATATAAATGCAGTAATTTCATAGAGTTACAGCTAGATCAACTAACCACATAGACATGTCACTATTATTGAGCAACTGACCACATAGACATGTCACTATTATTGAGCAACTGACCATATAGACATGTCACTATTATTGAGAGGCGCATTTTATACAAAAGAAGTGGTCTGAAACTTTGTTTTTAAAATTATAAAACTGAAAAAAAAAAAAAATATCTTCAGTACTTCAGACAGCTGTGGTTTTTTAACAAGTCATTAAAGATAACTATATCAAAAAGCATCTATTACTTGAAATAGCCATGTGCGAATCAGGAGCTGCGGGTCCCTGACCACTGTACACGAGACTTGCACTAACATTAAACTGATGTCGTGATATTAAAATGATGTACTTACATTTTAAAAAATGCACTTAAATTAAAATGATGCACACACATTAAAAGGATGCACGGACATTAAAATGATGCACGGACATTAAAATGATGCACTGATATTAAAATGATGCACTGACATTAAAATGATGCACTGACATTAAAATGATGCACGGACATTAAAATGATGCACGGACATTAAAATGATGCACTGACATTAAAATGATGCACTTACATTAAAATGATGCACTGACATTAAAATGATGCACTGACATTAAAATGATGCACTGACATTAAAATGATGCACGGACATTAAAATGATGCACTGATATTAAAATGATGCACTGACATTAAAATGATGCACTGACATTAAAATGATGCACGGACATTAAAATGATGCACTGACATTAAAATGATGCACTGACATTAAAATGATGCACATTCTGACCACTTTATTAAACGTTACCTTACAAACTGTTACATTTAAGGGTGTCGCCATTTTACAAAAGGGCCGTGAGTGTCAATAACAATGATAACAATACTAACAGTTATCAGTAAATAACCAAATGTTACAAGCTCATAAACAGCACTGCTTCTGCTGTTGATCAAGAGATGTACACTTTTCATTAGAGACATTTGCTAAACTTAAAGGTGACGGGTGCCAACCTTGACGTTAAAGGTCAGCTAATGTGGAATGAGGAAATCTTTGATGAGCTATGAATAAAACACTATGTCCTTGAACTGAGAGGTCATTCCTGCCTATCAATGTACTCCCTGCCTATCATTGTACTCCCTGCCTATCAATGAACTGCCTGCCTTTCAATGTACTCCCTGTTTATCAATGTACTCCCTGCCTATCAATGAACTGCCTGCCTATCAGTGTACTGCCTGTCTAGCAGTGTACTTCCTGTCTAACAATGTACACCCTGCCTATTAATGTACTGCCTGTCTATCAGTGTACTTCCTGTCTATCAATGTGCACCCTGCCTATTAATGTACTGCTTGTCTATCAGTGTACTTCATGTCTATCAAAGTACTCCCTGCCTAATAATGTACTGCCTGTCTATCAAGTTACTTCCTGCCTATCAATGTACTGCCTTCCTATCAGTGTACTTCCTGCCTATGAATGTACACGTTTTGCTTTATGGTCCTCACGTTTAGGTCAAAAGGGAGAAAAGACAACAAATTAAATGTCCACGGAGAGAGTCTACAAAGTTGTCTCTCTTCATGCTCTGCTAGATTCTTTTACACAAAAGATTGGTTTCTCGGCGATTTTGTTTCCCTGTGGCACAGCTAACTCTCATATAAATAATAAATATACCGTAAAGATATTTGGATCAATAAATCAATTTTTTTCTTTTAAAATTGCAACGCTTTGACTTAAAACACAAATTGTTTGACAACTAGAGACCGACCAAATTTCGGTTTCGGCGCCGAAAGTGGCCATTTGATCACATTGTCAGTATGTGGCAATAACACTAACTAACTCACTACTTGGACCTCTTACTTTAGCTCTTAGATCTACACCATAAAATATTGATTTGATTGGAGCGTTGTGTTCCTTATTTCTCTGACAGATTACATCAACTGTACGATAGATAAAAGTTAAACGATGAAAAGTCAAACAGACATTAATACAACAAATAGGTTAAAGCGAAAGTATTTCTTGAGGTATAAAGTGTGCCCACATTTTAGATGATTTTACTTCAGGTTATGCCCTACCCGCTCCCGATGACGTGTGCATCAACACCCTGACACCGCCTACTAACGCCCGAGGTGTGAACAGGGTGAGCAGGAACTCAGACGCCCCATTGTATCGGCTCCACTTCAATGAAAACATTGCCAGCGATGGGGGGCGCCACGTCGGACCAGAGGCATACCACGGTGAGTTGAGGTTACCAGAGACATACCACGGTGAGTTGAGGTGACCAGAGACTTACCACGGTGAGTTGAGGTTACTAGAGACATACCACTGTGAGTTGAGGTTACCAGAGTCATACCACGGTGAGTTGAGGTGACCAGAGACATACCACGGTGAGTTGAGGTTACCAGAGACATACCACGGTGAGTTGAGGTGACCAGAGACATACCACGGTGAGTTGAGGTGACCAGAGACATACCCCCCCCCCGCGAGTTGAGGTTACCTGAGACATACCACGGTGAGTTGAGGTTACCAGAGACATACCACGGTGAGTTGAGGTTACCAGAGACATACCACGGTGAGTTGAGGTGACCAGAGACATACCCCCGTGAGTTGAGGTTACATGAGACGTAATGTGCAGCTAAGCACACTTCTATTGCTGCCCACAGATACTACTTACCAGCTAAGTGCTATTTCTTATTTTTATTTACATACCGTTTGTTCTGTTGTTTTGTTCGCTGACGAAGTCTTTCTGCCGACACGTTCGCTGTTTTGTTGCGTTTATTTTTTCAGGTTTAACCCTACTTTGTTTTACTCATTTTATTTTACACATATTTTAACAGTGATAACCTAGTAGGTGAGTTGAATCTAGAGAGAAGAATTCGAGGCTTGTTGGTTTTATTCTAGAATTAAAGCATTATAATTAAAGGAAATTTCAACGGATTTTAGAATGAAACCGACATCGCCAAGGTAGTCGTTCCTAGAAACATTGATTTGCTATAGCCACGATAAAATAAATTAACGAACAGAGAGACGATAGATGACTTAAGAAATGTTTTTAGTTTATATAATAACCACACCGAAACTTTACAATCACATGTGAGTCTATCATTAAGATTGTAACTTTAAACACGCCACACTGCGTTAATCATTGTGTCTATATTTTAAAAAGAACATGGACCATCTCCAAAAATGACCCCAAAAAAAAACCTAAAAAACTAATCAACAGCGAATGTAAAGAAGATTGACCAAGTGATGGCTTTTATCAATGGTAACTAACATTGTCCCTCATCTAACACCATGGCGTCCCACATTGCAGTTCATGTCTCCATTGCAAATGAGCTGCTGGCCTTTGACAGCGCCAAAGTCCAGGTGTCGGCACAGGGCTCGTGTGGGACGGGCTCACTCAAATTCGACCAGCTGGATTTCATCGAGGTCAGGCAAAAAGAGGACAGGTGTCCGAGACTCCTCCACACCGCCAAGAAGAGGCCCATGACAGAGTTGCCGTCCTTACTGTGGACCCCGCCATCTTGTGGGTGTGTCGTGTTTAAGTAAGCTTCATTGTTTTCAAACTTCTCTATAACAAGAGCCTCCTTCTAATAAACTAACCAGTTGTTCGAAATGTACATTTGAAAAATAAAAATTATATTAGCTCTTCGTCACTTTATACTGTTCAACTTGCCCCCTTCTAAGGCTAATTCAGATTCGATCTACAACTTACTCCATTTTACGCATTAACTGATAGTTTCCATCAAAACAAAAATATACCATGCTGCACACGGCAAAAAATCCTCATGTCTGGCCAGCTGACACAAGACAACTAGGCGAAACATGTGTCAGAACAATGGCATATTATTTGTGTCAGAATAGTGACAGATAATTTGTGCCAGAACAATGACATACTATTTGTGTCAGAACAATCACATATTGTTTGTGTCGGAACAATGACGTGTTATTTGTTTCAGATCAATGACATATTATTTAAAAGGAGAAAATCGAATATTCGATAGTTTACTTATGACTTAACCTTTTAACTAACTTTCTTGTCTACCCCTACCAGGGTTTTGGTTGTGGAGGAGGCCAACATTTACTTTGCTGACAACGAAGAAACCAGAAACGGACCATTGACATGGACTGTGTGTGTGGAGAAAAGGGTGCGTTGATGCCTGCCAGAGCAGCTCAGCATAACTGTCACAACAGGAATTAAACTTAAGTACCTGCCAGAGCAGCTCAGCATAGCTGTTACAACAGGAATTAAACTTAAGTACCTGCCAGAGCAGCTCAGCATAACTGTTACAACAGGAATTAAACTTAAGTACCTGCCAAAGCCGCTCAGCATAACTGTTACAACAGGAATTAAACTTAAGTATCTGCAAGAGCAGCTCAGCATAACTGTCACAACAGGAATTAAACTTAAGTACCTGCCAGAGCAGCTCAGCATAACTGTCACAACAGGAATTAAACTTAAGTACCTGCCAGAGCAGCTCAGCATAACTGTTACAACAGGAATTAAACTTAATCTCAAAACTACGATGGATGATAACTTTTCCTTTCATTATTATTTAAAGTCCTCCCTAGCAAAATTTTATCGGACTTGATGAAAGGTCTCGTCAAGGTTTAAATCTTTCACAAAATTGTATTGTTGGTTCCTGACAAGCTATAACAGGGTACACAGTTTTGAGCTATAGTAGATTTTAATATGTCAAATAGTGTGACAAGCTCATATCATTTCTTTCACCTTTACTGCAGAAATAGCTGGTATTGTTCATATTTAATTGAAAAAAACAAGTATACGTAATTGTAATACTTTAATATTTTAATGATTCATTAGAAAGTTCATTAATTAAATCATCAGAAAAGGTTCAATTCATTTACAAAAATGGTTGCCACTTTCTTTCATTCAGAATTTTTTTTTTAACGCATCGTGACTCAATATTGATTGTCCTTCAATCGTCGCCTTGTTGACGATGCACGATCTAGTGTAAGGCGGGCCATTAAGTGCTCACCCACAGAACAGAAACTGTACATAAACTTTTTAATTGATGTTAGTTAAAGGATTTAAACAAAAAAGGTTGACTATAGCACGCCTTTCAGAATAAATGAAACTTCCGTGTTTGGTGTCGTGCAGGTCACACGAGAGCATTTTCTGGAAGCTTTGTGTATGGCCCCGGACCGGCACAGATCTTCCCAGATACTCTCCAACCAAGCTTTTCTGACACGCCACAGGCTGGACTCGCAGACATTGAACAGGTACAGCGTGGAGATGGCGCTGGAGTTGAGGAGATCAGACAATAAAGTCTGCTGTAACAAGGTAATACTACTAGACAATATAAAGTTCAAGGTCAGTTTGTAATCAGCTTTCAAACATGCTGACATAATGGTTTAATCTTTAATTTTCCAGGAGCAAGAGGCCATTTGTAAAGTCGGTTGTGTTGGGAAAAGCCATTTTTAAACTTGATTGCGTCCAATGTTTTAGTTAGGATGAGCCATTTGTAAAGTTGATTGCAACCTATGCTTTAGTTAGGATGAGCCATTTGTAAAGTTGATTGCAACCTATGCTTTAGTTAGGATGAGCCATTTGTAAAGTTGATTGCAACCTATGCTTTAGTTAGGATGAGCCATTTGTAAAGTTGATTGCAACCTATGCTTTAGTTAGGATGAGCCATTTGTAAAGTTGATTGCAACCTATGCTTTAGTTAGGATGAGCCATTTGTAAAGTTGATTGCAACCTATGCTTTAGTTAGGATGAGCCATTTGTAAAGTTGATTGCAACCTATGCTTTAGTTAGGATGAGCCATTTGTAAAGTTGATTGCAACCTATGCTTTAGTTAGGATGAGCCATTTGTAAAGTTGATTGCAACCTATGCTTTAGTTAGGATGAGCCATTTGTAAAGTTGATTGCAACCTATGCTTTAGTTAGGATGAGCCATTTGTAAAGTTGATTGCAACCTATGCTTTAGTTAGGATGAGCCATTTGTAAAGTTGATTGTGTCCAATGTTTTAGTTAGGATGAGCCATTTGTAAAGTTGATTGCAACCTATGCTTTAGTTAGGATGAGCCATTTGTAAAGTTGATTGCAACCTATGCTTTAGTTAGGATGAGCCATTTGTAAAGTTGATTGCGTCCAATGTTTTAGTTAGGATGAGCCATTTGTAAAGTTGATTGTGTCCAATGTTTTAGTTAGGATGAGCCATTTGTAAAGTTGATTGTGTCCAATGTTTTAGTTAGGATGAGCCATTTGTAAAGTTGATTGTGTCCAATGTTTTAGTTAGGATGAGCCATTTGTAAAGTTGATTGTGTCCAATGTTTTAGTTAGGATGAGCCATTTGTAAAGTTGATTGTGTCCAATGTTTTAGTTAGGATGAGCCATTTGTAAAGTTGATTGCGTCCAATGTTTTAGTTAGGATAACCCATTTGTAAAGTTGATTGTGTCCAATGTTTTAGTTAGGATGAGCCATTTGTAAAGTTGATTGTGTCCAATGTTTTAGTTAGGATGAGCCATTTGTAAAGTTGATTGTGTCCAATGTTTTAGTTAGGATGAGCCATTTGTAAAGTTGATTGCAACCTATGCTTTAGTTAGGATAACCCATTTGTAAAGTTGATTGTGTCCAATGTTTTAGTTAGGATGAGCCATTTGTAAAGTTGATTGCGTCCTATGCCTTAGTTAGGATGAGCAATTTGTAAAGTTGATTACGTCCTATGCCTTAGATAGTGGTTTGAAATTATTAACTTATTACTTTAAAAATTTCCAATTTATGTTCCTTTTACAATCCTCCAGTAGCCACTTCCCAACGTGTTACCTTTTCACGGATTATCTCCCTATCTCCCATGCCGCCGTAGACCATCAGGTTAAGAAAACCTTTCAACACACTCCTTCCTTAAAAATACCTAATCTAAGGCCTCAAGTGGTCCACGCAGTATGGTCTGTTTCATTTTTTTTTCAAAGCTTAATGATATTCTTACCCTATGGCTCTGTGATCGAATGCTCATTAGTATCATTGACCATGATACAATCTTTACTCCCATTAGCAAAGATACGTTGTGTTTAAAAGGATGCGGCAACTGTAACACAGTGTAACACAGTATAATACCAAAAGGTCACTTATAGTGTAGTGGTGATGTGATTGTAACACAGTGTAAAACAAATAGTGAACTCATAGTGTAGTCCTACTACTAAAAGAGCTACATAAAATAAATTGTATCCAATAATTTGAATTGAAGTTGCTAGGATTGGTCCTGTCCGTGATGAGCCAATCGGTTTACCAGTCCCACTACAAAAAAAACAAAAAAAACAAAGAAAACAAACAACTACGTTTTACCGAAAATACCACCCGAAAGGGGACCCCGCCCCTCCACATCTCTTTCTTACCCGACCAGTTACCCGTGTTAAGTACTCGACCATTTGCTAGCTCAGGTGGACAGTTTGATAGCTGATTTGAACTGTTTGACAGCTGATTCGAACAGTTTGATAGCTGATGTGCTCTTAAAACTGTGAAGAGGTGCTCTTGCGACACTAAGACGGTACAGGCAATCTTGGAACTCGTGCGAGACATACGATCTAACGGAGGGAACGTGACCCTTCAATGGATCCCAGGACACGCGGAGATCCCCCCACAAGTCAGAGCTGACTGGCTTGCAAAACAAGGTTCTTCCCAACCCCAATCTGACAGGCCAATGACCCAATTGGGGGTCAAAGCCTGGTTAAAGGACCTCTTTCAGGAGGAATGGATGAAAGAATGGGAACAGGGTACCACCGCACGAAAGCTTTACCGGAACATGCCTAAAACTAACCGAAAGGGCGATCAATGGTGGAGCCTTAAGCGATACCAGCAGAGCCTCATAACACAAATGAGGACAGAGCACTGCCCCACGAGGAGCTATTTAAAAAGGTTGAACCCACTACGGGACCCGAGCTGCCGCCATTGTGGACAGGCACCGGAAACAGTAGAGCACCTTCTAGCCGGGTGCCCGACATTAGCGACTGGCGTGACTGGGGTTCTTCCAGCCAACAACGCCGAGAGCCTGTTATACGGGTCTGCCCAGCAGATGAGGCAGGCCTGTTCCATACTTTCCGGGGCCATTAAAGAGCAATAGCTCGGTCCCATACAGTGAATGAAATAAATATTTCAGGTAGCTGATTCGCTGGAGGTCGAATACCAAATGCCTTTAGGTCGGGGCTCTGCACCAGCGAAGAGACTCGGAGGTGTCACATGGGGTTTTGCCTCTTGGTGGCGTGCCAGACTAGTAAAGAGGTCTTCTCCCCCCGAAGCTAAAAACCCCCGGCCACTGCATGACTCACAATGCAACGGGAGGAACGCAGTAACATGATTACTTGCTGCCGTTAATGTATATGAGGCCTGGGTGGCTTCCAAACCCTTGCCGATGATTTTAGCTACGCGACCCTGAGAAAGCCGCTGTTAGGCAACCGCTTCGTCCCCGCTTACGTCCCGACTGCACAACTCCCTGGACGGTGGGGGAGGTAACGCAAAAACATTCACCCGGAGAGGAAGCAAAACCGTTCAGACCTAAGGAGAGTTGATCGCGGACGCTTTAAAACCAGCGTCTTCAGTCGACCGGACGTCCTCCAGGCCAGGGGGGATGTTCCTGGCGTGCGGGTAGACCCAGCGCCGGCCCGTGTGGGGTGTGCCCGGGGGGGGTATTATGAGCTCGCGCTCGATGACCCACCGACACCATCTCCGAAGTGACGTTTACAGATAGCTGATTCGAACTGTTTGATAGTTGAGTCAAACCATTTGATAGATTAATCGGACTGTTTGCTAGCTCAGTAGGACCGTTTGATAGCTGAGTCGAATAATTTATAGCTGAGTCGACCCGTTTGATAGCTGTGTCGCGGCCCTGAGAAATCCGCTCCTAGGCGATCGTTTCGTCCCGCTTACGTCCCGACCTGACAACAACCTGGACGGTGGGGGGAGTAACGCAACAACATTCCCCCGGAGAGGAAACAAAGCCGTTCAGAACCAAGGAGAGTGGACCGCGAAAGCAACACCTCGGCCAGCCAGGTGTTCATTCTCTGGTGCCGCCTCATTCGCATAGTCAATTGAGTGGAGGGGTGGATGAGACTGTCTCTGTGCGGAAAACTAAACACTTCGCGACCAGACTGCAATAAAGACTACTGTGGGAGTAGTTGATGGCAAGTTGAATTTATCGGATGGTGCGTTTGGGAAGACTTCATGATCTTCGGCTCGATAGTTTACTGTTTTTCTAATGTAGATTAGATAGATCAGCCGGACTATGTGGTGGTAGATAAGCTGGACTGTGTGGTGGTAGATCAGCCGGACTGTGTGGTGGTAGATCAGCCGGACTGTGTTGTGATAGATCAGCCGGAATGTGTTGTGATAGATAAGCCGGATTGTGTGGTGATAGATCAGCCGGACTGTGTGGTGGTAGATCAGCCGGACTGTGTGGTGGTAGATCAGCCGGACTGTGTGGTGATAGATCAGCCGGACTGTGTGGTGGTAGATCAGCCGGACTGTGTGGTGATAGATCAGCCGGACTGTGTGGTGGTAGATCAGCCGGACTGTGTGGTGATAGATTAGCCGGACTGTGTGGTGATAGCTGAGTCGGAATGTGTGACAGCTGAATCGACTCGTTTGAAAGCTGAGCGGACCCCATTCAAAATTTGAAAGACGGGAAAATATCAGATAGCATGACTATTTTCAGACTTCCTGCTCATTACAAGCATACTTTCTGCTCATTACAGGGATATTTCCTGCTCATTACAGGCATACTTCCTGCTCATTACATTTGAAACAACAAAATCTCTTATAACAGTCCAATGCACTGCTGTTTTGTTATCCTTTAGCCCAAACACAAGGACAAGATGACTTGTTTCGATAATGTCAGACGTCACCGTATTGATAGATTCTGTGGGGACGGCATCCCAGACCTCAACTTTGTGACATTTAGGTCCAGCTTCATGCGTGAACGGGAACAGCAGTGTTGCTTTATCTTAGGTGAGTAGCGGGAACATCAGAGTTTGTTAATCTAAGGTGAGTAGGGGGAACAGCAGTGTTTGTTAATCTTAGGTTAGTGGCTACTGTCAGCATTCTTCATCGCACATATTAATTTATTTACAAAATATGTGCAGAACGGTCCAATGGAAACCTTTGGACATGGATGGCTACTCTTTGATTTAAGGGGGGGGGGGGAAAGTATGTATATCTAATCTGAGTTAATTTTGTTTTGAGCTCCCGAATTAAACACCAATCCCATGGTCATGACTGACAAGATCCACACAGAATTAAACACCAATCACATGGCCATGACTGACTTGATCCACACAGAATTAAACACCAATCTCATGGCCATGACTGACTTCATCCACACAGAATTAAACACCAATCCCAAGGCCATGACTGACTTGATCCACACAGAATTAAACACCAATCCCATGGCCATGACTGACTTGATCCACACAGAATTAAACACTAATCCCATGGTCCATGACTGACATGATCCACACAGAATTAAACACCAATCCCATGGCCATGACTGACTTGATCCACAAAGAATTAAACACTAATCCCATGGTCCATGACTGACATGATCCACACAGAATTAAACACCAATCCCATGTCCATGACTGACTTGATCCACACAGAATTAAACACCAATCCCATGTCAATGACTGACTTGATCCACACAGAATTAAACACCAATCCCATGTCCATGACTGACATGATCCACACAGAATTAAACACCAATCCCATGTCCATGACTGACATGATCCACACAGAATTAAACACTAATCCCATGGTCCATGACTGACAAGATCCACACAGAATTAAACACCAATCCCATGTCCATGACTGACATGATCCACACAGAATTAAACACCAATCCCATGTCCATGACTGACTTGATCCACACAGAATTAAACACCAATCCCATGTCCATGACTGACATGCTCCACACAGAATTAAACACCAATCCCATGTCCATGACTGACATGATCCACACAGAATTAAACACCAATCCCATGTCCATGACTGACTTGATCCACACAGAATTAAACACCAATCCCATGGCCATGACTGACTTGATCCACACAGAATTAAACACTAATCCCATGGTCCATGACTGACATGATCCACACAGAATTAAACACCAATCCCATGGCCATGACTGACATAATCCACACAGAATTAAACACCAATCCCATGGCCATGACTGACATAATACACACAGAATTAAACACTAATCCCATGGCCATGACTGACATAATCCACACAGAATTAAAAACCAATCCCATGACCATGATTAACATAATCCACATAGAATTAAACACCAATCCCATGTCCATGATTGACATAATCCACATAGAATCAAACACCAATCCCATGGCCATGACTGACTTGATCCACACAGAATTAAACACCAATCCCAAGGCCATGACTGACTTGATCCACACAGAATTAAACACCAATCCCATGGCCATGACTGACTTGATCCACACAGAATTAAACACTAATCCCATGGTCCATGACTGACATGATCCACACAGAATTAAACACCAATCCCATGGCCATGACTGACTTGATCCACACAGAATTAAACACTAATCCCATGTCCATGACTGACATGATCCACACATCATTAAATACCAATGGCATGGTCATGGCTGACATGATCCACACAGAATTAAATACCAATGGCATGGTCATGGCTGACAAGATCCACACAAAATTAAATATCAATACCATGGTCATGGCTGACAAGATCCACACAGAATTAAATACCAATGGCATGGTCATGGCTGACAAGATCCACACAGAATTAAATACCAATGGCATGGTCATGGCTGACAAGATCCACACAGAATTAAATACCAATGGCATGGTCATGGCTGACATGATCCACACAGAATTAAATACCAATGGCATGGTCATGGCTGACATGATCCACACAGAATTTACCAAGTCTTGGGTCAAGGGCGAGGGACTTCCACCACCCAAGGTTGGGATAGACGCCTTTGGCGATAGGATACCCTTTAGAAGATAATCATAGAACGAGATCAGTGTAGTGCACACATTCAACATTGCCGAAACTTTGTTAAAAAAATGAATTAATTATATATTGTATTAAACCTAGAGCCAATTTATTGACATCGGAATGTTTTCCATGAGAGCTCTCAATGTAAAGAGAGTGTGAAAACCTTATGGCAAAAATTTTAAGAGATCTGGTTTAAAAAAATAATTCCCCCAACAAATGGGGATGAGGGAGGTTGGTCGCTAAAAGAAATAATTACGTCACTAGCACGAAACTAGGCTAAATATTAATACAGCAATATCTTGCCATCTATTTATGAAAACACAAAGCATTTGTATGACGATAACAGCGAAACATTTGGGTGATATATTTGTAGCCTTAATAACTTGTAATTAAGCGTCGATTTGGTTTATTAGAGCCACAATAATTATTGTGGGTATAGGTTCTAGGTATCAATTATATTATAAAAGCAAAGGGCACTCAAGGGTCTATTTTACATGAATTTTGCCCCCCCCCCCCTTAAATTTTCTCAAACCATATTACTTTTAAAAACATTTAAAAGAAATTTAAATTACTTTTAAATTAAAATGGTAAAATCCAAAGTATTAATTTGATCAGGGGTCTCAAACTCAAATCACCCGGAGGCCGCAGGAGGTAGAGTCTAATAGAGACTGAGCGGTATCAAGAACTCCACAAAAATGCGATTAAAAATTCATTAAAGTACAAATAGTACAATCTGCTCAACTTTTATAAATAACAAATAAAAACATTAAGGGTTCTCAAGAACTACCAATGTTTATAAATATCTCTCTTATTTTACCATCCAGGTGAACACCTCTACCAATGTTTATAAATATCTCTCTTATTGTACGATCCAGGTGAACACCGTTACCAATGTTTATAAATATCTCTTATTTTACCATCCAGATGAACACCGCTACCAATGTTTATAAATATCTCTCTTATTTTACGATCCAGGTGAACACCGCTACCAATGTTTTGGGGCGAACAGTGACCTTAAGAGTGGAACAAACGACACGTATTTAGATTACTCCTTGGACGATACTGACCCAGCCAATGACCTGGCCATCTTCGTTTTCCCTAAGGTTGGAATTATATCATACCGAAATCATTCAATACACGATGATTTATTGCTGTATTCAAAAGATAGTAACAAAAATATATGTATTGCGAAGATTATCTCTTCATCTTGCCGAGACCAGCAGCTGGTGAATAAATAAGATCCATTTAGCTAACAGATATTTTGTTATCCTTTGAACTAAAATGTAAAAAAAAATTTTCGACCTCAAACCTACATTTGCAATATATACTTATTTAAGTATACTTAGAAACATAGTTATATAAGTACATTGGACACTAATGTTGGTTATCCATTGTTAGCATGTTTTGGAATTGTATCCTTGCTGAAACCAAGATTAATATAATACCCATCGATTTAGTGACTGTGGTTTTAATCACATGATTATTTCAAAAGGAGTTCAAATTCCAACTCTGTTAAATCTGGTGACTCTTAGAATTATGTCTGGGTTTTTAAAGTTTCATTTGAAAGACTATCTGTACCTAAACCTTACCCTAAACCTACCTCAATGATTAAACATCTGTTTGTACTACCATATCACTACTGTTACTATTAATAATTCTACAGGACTTGGATGTTCTACAAGTAATAAAATCTGTGAATTTCGGGGGAAAACACAACACAGAGAACAGTACGGACATCTCAGGAAAACGTGGCATCAAGAAGACGTCAGCGGAAGATGTTCGAAAGGCTCATGGGCTTACCCCAGAAATTTCTAAAACTGATGATGAAAGTGTATCCCCAGATGTGGCCAGTGTGGCCCCGTTGTCGTCCAGAGAGAGGAAAGAAAAACCCAAACAGGCCGAGAGCAAGCGTCGAGACACCAGACCTGGAGATCTCCATGCATCCTCTGCTGCGGTCCAGCGGGTAAGCAGTGCCGAGCAGCGCAGAAGCAACCGACGCAGAGGAGGGTCGGCAGCCGAGACGAAAAAAGCAAGTCAGGAAATGGCAGATTCAACTAAGAAGTCCGGCAGACAACGACGGAACAGTCGCGAGGAGGTCGCGGGACTTGGGGGACTGTCAGGTAATAGGAAGATTGCCCCGCGATCCAGTAGTGAGAAGAGGATGACTGCCCGAACCAGTGCTGAGCGAGCTATCACTGATACATTTGGGGACAAGGATCTGGACGAGGATCTGGAAGATCAGGGCGGCTCATCGATTGAAGGACAACTGTTAAGTAAGTGATTGTAAGGGTGGGGTCATGTTTAAGAACAGAAACATGTAACTATAGATGTCAGTAAGAGATGTTCTGGTTGCACAACGTAGGAAAGGGTTCTTGTCAAAGTTCCCTGTAGCTCATCGTTAGCTGTTTATTTGGAGGCTCAGACTTTAAAATGGTCGGGTGTCATAATAAATAATATGGAAAGATGATATGGCCTACGAATGAAATGCACCGTCTTTGGTGGGCAGAAAAGAGAGTTTGGTTATTTAACTTCTAGCGATATTAAAGCCACGTATTATGTTCGCTGCAACAGGAAGAAAGCCGCGCGATTGTGAACACTACCACAACTCTCCTTTTAATCATGTTTGCCTTTAATTATTTTATGATTCCTGCAAATCGTTTCAGAATATAAAAAACAGATTCTAAGGCTTCGCCTGAAGACAGTTTGCTGCAAGGCAGGTGCGAGCGCTGGGAAGTTCGTTTACAGCCGTACGAGCTTACGAGCCAGAAACGAGTGCGGACACAGCGGAGAAAAGTACCTGAGCCGGAACCACCAGGATACTGGAATGAAGATCTGCAGGGATCAGTTTATGTTGTGCTGCACTGAGAAAGCCGTCAGGTAGGATCTATGTAAGGTTGATATATGCTCTGTGTCAAGGTTATATCTGATTTTTGTCAGGGCGATACCTGATTTGTGTCAGGGTGATGTCTGCTCTGATGTCAGTGTGATTTGTGATCTTTCAGGGTGATACCTGATTAGTGTCAGGATGATATCTGATTTGTGTCAGGGCGATATCTGATCTGTCAGGACGATATCTGATCTGTGTCAAGGTGATCTGAAGATAATGTGTCGTTTTTGTATTGTTTTTTTTTTTATTGATGGTTATTTAATTGTTTGTCTATAGACAAGTATGAATGATCTACTTGAAACGTTTGGGTGAAAAATGGCTGCGTGTTGTTTATAATTATTCTATTTTTTTTTAAGGTTGGAGGTTGGAATAATGCACCTCTCTAAATGTGTACTCTCAAAACTTAAGTATAGCATAATTAAATGTTTTATTGCTATTACTATAAAACATTTCTTTCATAATTTTGCGAGACATAAATGCTCGTTGACAAAAAGATTGGCTTGTGTAAGAATTAAATGAATTAATCTGTTTTGTTTATCCAAGACTCATCGTTTGACGTCACAAAGCAATCTGAAATGATTAACCATACCACTTAAAAATAAACCAAAGACGAACGATCGATCAATTTCTAATGCTTTACAATAATTGTGTATTGGGCTGTGCGACCCGGGGGGGGGGGGCTAACCGGGCGCCATAATCTTTAGTTGTATGCAACATATGTGTGTTTGGTATGTATATATATATATATATATATATATATATATAAGAGATCACCTGAAATAAGTAAAATGATTAACCATACCACATAAAAAAAAACCAAAGACTAACGATCGATCAATTTCTAATGCTTTACAATAATTGTGTATTGGGCTGTGCGACCCGGGGGGGGGGGCTAACCGGGCGCCATAATCTTTAGTTGTATGCAACATATGTGTGTTTGGTATGTATATATATATATATATATATATATATATAAGAGATCACCTGAAATAAGTTGTTGTTTTTCCCAGGCTCAGCTTTTCTTGTCCTGATTGTGTGTGTACGTATATTTTAATATAAACAGTTTAACTATTGTTCCTGAGTGTCAATGATTAACAGACAAAATAATTTAACACTGTGTGTGTCTTTTTTTTTTAACACAGTGGTCCATCTATGACCAGCAATGAGTTCAGAGCAAGTCCATTCATGCTCTTTGACAACCAAGGCAGGACAGAAGTGGAGGAGGATGACCTGGAGGATGACCATCAGGAGACTCCAGTTGAGAATGAAAATGATCATGACCAAGAGGAGCTCTATGGACAGACACCGGATGTGGAAGGCACGGCCAAAGAGAGGGAGTCTCAAACGATGCGACCAGATAATGAAACGCAAGTCACTACACCCGATGAAGAGTTGGATGGCCCCAGACAGTTTGATGAGATGGACAACGCTGAGGAATCTGTTGATGTCTTAGACAGGTCCGAGCCTGCGCCAGAGAAACAAAAATTGCGCTCTAGGGGTGACGAGGAAGTGGATGCTTATGACGAGAGAGATTTCTCGGCCACCATCGATGACAAGACAGATGATGACATTGAGGACGGACTTCACAGGAGAAAAGGTCACACGTCCCTTAAGAATAAAGCTTTCAAGGACAGAGAAACTAAGAAAGAATCACGGGAGAGAACTGGATCTGTGAAACCTGGTTTAGTTGAAGTGCGTGGATCCAAAAATGACAGAAGAGGTTCTCAAGTTGGAGGTTCAACACGAACCAGGGGTGGGAGTTCCCGCTCGTCAAGACAGAGATCTTCACGTGAGAGGGCTTCAGAAGAACTGCCTCCAGGCAGGAATTCACGCTCCTCCAGACAGAGATCATCACGTGAGAGGGCTTCAGAAGAACTGCCTCCAGTGTATTCAATGTATAAGCCTCGAGCACATATCAGGGATAGACACATGGGTGCCATGGATTCAAAAGAAATGGCTGCCGCGCACGGAAGGACCTATACAGGGACGCTCGATTCCAAGGAAATGGTAGAGGCATTCGGCAAGCAGGAAATACTTGCACCGGCCAGGAGCGGCACCAAAAAGAAGAGGAGACACTTGAGGCAAATGATATAAATTGTTGACGGTGTTGTTGTTACAGTCAGATTCAGTTGTTAATGAGTAACAGAGACCGCCATTAATTACCCTAGCTTGCCTATTTAACGTGACACACTTTTTGGGTTGCAAACTTCAAGAAGACCATTAAGGCATTTAGAATTTAAACATTTGATATTTACAATTGTTTCAGTTGTTAATCCTCAAAGAATAAAGGCAAATTTCAGCTGCTGATAGACCATTTGTTTTGAAATGTTATTGAATAAATTGGTTTAATATAATAAAATAACACAATACCGCACAGACAGACTTAGAAGATCTATTTTAGCAGATATTATCCATCAATGTGGGGCCTCATATATTAATCAAATTTAACTTATAAAATCAAGTAGTCCCTGCAATACATTAAAATTCAAAGTTTTACATACAAACAAAAATTAATGTAAAAAAAAATACAATTTAGTAAAATAGAAACGAGCTTACCTTTGCACACACAACCAATTCATCCAGACCAAAAGCTTTGCCAATGGACTGAATATTTTCAATTTTGTCTGCTCTTACTCCAAGCAATTATTCTCCTGATTTAAAATCCAAGTGTTTACATTGTTTAACATATATCTCTAACCCACCTGAGTTAACACAATGCAACTAGAGATGCATAAAAAGTTTGGTCTCGAGAATCTCTTAGATTCCATCGGTTTTTTTTTTTTTTTAAATTGAGGTTTAACTTAAAATACACGGTTATGCTTTCATGTAATGTCTGTCTGACAAACTCTTTGCAAATAAGTCATTCGATTATTATCACTGTTACTATTTTTCGATTAGTTTTGATGTGGTTATGTGGATATCAATGTCAATCAGGCAAGAGAAAGAGAATAAACACTTTATTGGCCAAATAACACGGACAAAGCCATATAGGTCAGGTGGTTTTTAACCTTTTTACAACGCCGCATCGTTTATCCACTCAAAAATATTTTTGGCATCACAGTAACTTACTTTGATCTCAATAGATTCAGCGACAACCCGTTACTACTCCCCCCCCTCTCATATCATTGTGCTCTTTTTATATGAAGCGTAATCCTGTTGCTACAAAAACACCTAACACAAACAGTACCTCGTCAAATCCTACCACACCCCCAGGTCACCCTCGTCAATTCCTACCCCACCCCCAGGTCACCCTCGTCAATTCCTACCACACCCCCAGGTCACCCTCGTCAATTCCTACCTCACCCCCAGGTCACCCTCGTCAATTCCTACCACACCCCCCCGGTCACCCTCGTCAATTCCTACCACACCCCCAGGTCACCGGCATACCTGGTTCCGAACCCCTCCTATATCTGATCAGTTCCATGGTATTATTTTCTGTTTACAATGTTTTAAAATTAAAATAACTGCTTAACGTCACTCCACAAAAAACTGACAATTCCGCATAAAGCTGTTACGTCGCCCACGCAGGTGGATGATGGGAAATACCCTGTCCTGTCTAACCGCCCCAGGTTGTCTTGTCTGTGTGACAACGATGCAGTCTTATGATTTTGTCAACGTTGCTTGGCATTACGTCATGATGAGTCACCCAACATTAGCATAATATCATCGTACACCAAGGTTTTAAATTTTTCTGAGCTATATTTCTTCATAATTTGCTTATGAATAGATTAAGTGACGTTGTTGAAGGTCAAATATGACGTAAAATATGGAAGACATTAGATCTGAATTAGAGAGTAAAATAATTTCAGGATAAAGGGACAAGAACTTCAACAACTCGATCAAAAAGTCTAGGACAGTAGCTGTATCATTTGTCACAAATGACCATGCTGGAGACGGGAGCCATGGGCGTGGGTGCCACACAAAGGTACAATAGATGAGGGAATTGTTGGCCTAACATCGGCAAGAGTTTATGGTAGTAGAGGGAAGACATTACAGTTTGGGGAAAAGGAAGGCTCCTGGTGGACATTGTGGGAACGGGTATCAGAAATGTATTGGATAAATGAGTTTGCAGGTGGAGATGGAATGTTCACGAAGACCATGGGTAGAGTTAGATTAATCATCAGTAATGGTAAAAGTCTCAACGGGAAAGATGCTAATAGCTGGGTAAGGACATGCAATGGACGTTAGGGGGTAAATGATCTGGTCGGGGAATGTTGCCTTTAATGATGTGGCCATTCAATGACCGTGGGATGGTTGGTCAGCTAGTAGAGTTTATTGTCACACGATGGGTCAATATAACGGAGAAGTTTTTCGATGCATCGCAGTTGAGAGGTATAGCAGTAGTGTAGAGGTAGAGCAGTAGTGTAGAGGTAGAGCAGTAGTGTAGAGGTAGAGCAGTAGTGTAGAGGTAGAGCAGTAGTGTAGATGTATAGCAGTAGTGTAGATGTATAGCAGTAGTGTAGAGGTAGAGCAGTAGTGTAGAGGTAGAGCAGTAGTGTAGAGGTAGAGCAGTAGTGTAGAGGTAGAGCAGTAGTGTAGAGGTAGAGCAGTAGTGTAGAGGTAGAGCAGTAGTGTAGAGGTAGAGCAGTAGTGTAGAGGTATAGCAGTAGTGTAGAGGTATAGCAGTAGTGTAGAGGTAGAGCAGTAGTGTAGAGGTAGAGCAGTAGTGTAGAGGTAGAGCAGTAGTGTAGATGTATAGCAGTAGTGTAGAGGTAGAGCAGTAGTGTAGAGGTAGAGCAGTAGTGTAGAGGTAGAGCAGTAGTGTAGAGGTAGAGCAGTAGTGTAGAGGCAGAGCAGTAGTGTAGAGGTAGAGCAGTAGTGTAGAGGTAGAGCAGTAGTGTAGAGGTAGAGCAGTAGTGTAGAGGTAGAGCAGTAGTGTAGAGGTAGAGCAGTAGTGTAGAGGTAGAGCAGTAGTGTAGAGGTATAGCAGTAGTGTAGAGGTATAGCAGTAGTGTAGAGGTAGAGCAGTAGTGTAGAGGTAGAGCAGTAGTGTAGAGGTAGAGCAGTAGTGTAGATGTATAGCAGTAGTGTAGAGGTATAGCAGTAGTGTAGAGGTAGAGCAGTAGTGTAGAGGTAGAGCAGTCGAGAGAGATCATGAGACGACGGTTGACTAGTTGACATAGGAATAGTTTCAAGGATACAGTTGAACAGTCATAGCTCTAGAGCTTCATATAGATAGCTGACAGTTTGAGAAGACTGTAGAAGAGCTTTTCGTTTGAATAATAAATATAGTCTATTTTATCATTGAGCACCTGGAGTTTGTGGTGTTGGATTTCGTTCAAGTCTACGTTGTGCTTTTGTCTGTCTCAACGCCTAGATACCCACAATATGAATCACAGAGAGGATCGGTGCTGTAGTGTCCACTACTAAGTCAATATAGTTTGTGACAAGTCAGGACTCGAGCCCTCCTCCGTAACAAACGTTCTGTGATAGCATTCTTATTTCACTAAGAACATTAGAATGACCTATTATATTTTCTGATTTTAGCCCAGAAAACGATGACAGCGGCAATGCGAGAATGTCCCAACTAATTAAGTTACTTTTACAAAATATGCGCTGAAGCAACACACTTTACGAATCCCAATAAGTACTGACACAACCACCGCACATTTTTCACCCCCCTCTCTATATTAATATTCATAAGTCCCACCCGATTTAACACCACAAATTTATTAATAACTATCGAGTACCCGGCATGCCTTGCAATGATAAATCAAACAAAGAAATTAGTTGCATTTTAATTATGTTTCTTATAGAGCTTTTAAATACACAATGTTGTTTTGTTTTGTTTTCCGTCTGAAATGCCGGGCAAGTCAAGTGAATTCAAGAATTCTGTTGGATGATTGACAACTTCGTCTTGATTCAATACAGTGTCGATGGACTTATACGTTGTCGTTTCGCCTGGGATTTTCTTTTGAATGCATAAGTTGATGGCATTGACATCGCTGTTTTTGGCTGCTAATATAGCACGTGCACTGAGCCACTGATGATTTTTATAATTTTGTACGATATTTGGAAAAACGTTTTGAATCAATTCGTCAATGTTGGCTGTAATTTAACAAAGCTTGTTGGCAATGTGATACATTTTGTTGATTCATCGATTGCCATTTTCCCATTCCAAATGTCCAACGATTGTTTTGCAAAACGTTCAGCGGATGCATCATTGTGTAGTTGTACTCGCCTATTTGTCTTCAAAGTTAATTTCTGTACATGTCACCATAATACTGATGATTTGAGACATTCATTTAATTCATCAGCCGCTGTTGAACGTGGTATAACGGGTAAAGTTTGTCGAAAATCTCGAGATAATAAAATAAGTGCTACCGAAGAGCTGTTCATTTCCTCTCAAATCTTTTAGTGTACGATGAAGCGCTTCCAATGCTTTTTTGTGTTCCATAGTACATTCGTCCCATATAATGAGTTGAAACGATTGGAGTAATTAACCATTCAGGAATGTTTATTTATATTGCATGTTGGTGTCTCAGTTATTTGCATATTCAACGGCAATTTCAGTGTTGAATGGGTTGTCCAGTCACCATGCAAAAGAGTTTCTGCAATTCCAGATGATGCGATAGCCTGTGCAATATTTTTGTGTGATCTTATTGTCACCAAAATAAGTGAAATTAGGAAAGTTTTTCCTGTGCCTCCGGGTGCATCTAGGAAATATAGTCCACTGCTTTGTCTGGTAATTGCATGCATAATTCTGTCATACACTATGAGTTGTTCTGGAGCCAATTTTTGAAGATTAATCTGAACAAATGTACCTAATTCTTCGATGTCAAAATGCGTTTTCCGTTGCAAATCACTATTGAAAGGCTTGTTTGCAGATCGATTAGCAGAAGTCATTCCCAACTCTACCAGTGCTTTGTTAGAGATAAGCTAACATATGTCGTCAATCGAAACCAATGCCTCGTTATACACGTTTGGTGTAAAATTAATGTCCGGATTTTGATTCGTTGCACGCAAATGATGTAGGATGTCTTCACTCATGTCTTCTTTGTATTTCTCCCAAAGATCTTTTGGATTGGATGGGAAGCAAGTTGTCAATGTGATTGCAAACAAAGTGCGTATTTGCTGTGGTTGAGCAATATTCGATGCATCAGAGCGAAGTATCCCAATGAGCATTGTTTTCCTAAAGTTTTAATTCTTGGCAAGCTTCACGATAAGTGGCACATACTTGGCCGTTTACTGTTTTCAGTTCTTGGAAGGATGTTGATCCACGTACGTTGATTAGTTGATTAATAGTAATCGCAAGTAAAAACATTCTGCATCGTTTGGGTGAACAGTGTACAGACGGCTTAATGCGTCAGCCGAATATAAATTGGGTCGGTCTTCAAATGCTTGACCCTGTTTGCGACGTTGAAAACTTTTCGC